GTTACTGTACGGCTTGGAGACAGTTATTTTAGTGAAGGAGCAGAAACAATGGTTGAATTGTGTACAGCAGTTAGCGAGTTGGCCTCGACAGAGCATAATGACGATTAAATAGAAGGACCAGGAAAGGAATATCTCGATGCTCCCCGGGCACATGACCTCAGTAAATGCGGAAATTAAGAAAAGAAGGTAGCTCTGTTATCACAAACCATTTACTGGTTTTCATGAGCTTCTCAAAACACCACATAGAATATGCAGAAAAAACGTACATGGACATGCTCTCAGGGAGGAATATTTACTTCCGTGATACTTAATAGCAAGTGTTGAAAAGCCGCCGAGACAGTGGACATCGCATTCTGGAGACATTTTGCTATCCAACAGATCAGGGTGATGATCTCAACAAACAAAACATAAATATGGAGTCATTAGTTCCTCATATTTGAGAAACAATGATTTCTGAGGAACAGTGATCGCTTTCAACTGTTTGTTTATTTCCTTCGATGGACAATCTTAATCCAAAGCCGAATAAAGCTTCACCACACAGGGTCTGAACACCTTGTAGCACATGCAACAAAGCGCTTGCCAACCGTTTTATGGAATACAAGACGCCTGAAACGTGAAATACACCGCAGGTAGAAAACGGCTCTTCTCGTAACGAAATGCGATTTCAAAGACCTCAAGATCTGCCGACAAATCACACATCTGTCTCAAATCTACGATATGACCCCCCGGGTCATTCTCAACCATATTCGAAGGTACTTCTAGGCAATTACAGGTCAGGAACAGGCCGATTTTCTTACAGCGTTGCCTGTCACCGACCATATACATAGAATGCAGCAGCTGACGCAGAAACGCAACGAACATCAATTGCTTGCTGTCATCGAATACAAGGTGATGAAAATCAATAGAACTGACGTTTGTGCTAAATACTACATACATTCTGTTTACATCAACCTGATCGAAGAATTGAACACCGGTTACACAACTGACATAACGCTGTTCTGAAAATCATTTCCTATCACAGCATGGATTGAGAAGGGTGAAGATAAAATACCATTTGGGCAAAGCCCTGATGATGCTAAAATCAATGTAGCGAAACGCGTCGACAATAAACTGCTGTACAATCTGCCGTATTTGGTACCCTGACTATGAATCGTTCAAACACCTAACTATACAAAACACCTATGGGCCCAGAATCAAAAACCTTAAGCATTACTCATCTGAAAAACCATATCACCATCATTCTTTTTCGCAGTCATGATTAACAGGCTAAACTGTTGCAAAGGCATCAGTACTAATGGAAAACGCTAACGCACTTGTTACTTCGGGATGACTGCATTATCTTCGCATAAGACACGATGGAGCTCCCACAGAAGATCCAGCAGTTGCAAGAAGAACATCTTACCACCAGTTTGGAGACTGACCACCGAAAGATGAAGTGGATTCCAAACGAGTACTTCCCAAAGAACTGTATCAACGCGAATAGCGAAGAACTCAAGAATGCATAACTTGGGTGTCAGGCGAACCGCATGAACTCGCTAGATGCTAAAATCAGCCGAAGAAGGAAGGTGACATGGCTGAACTTCAATCACATGAAAACATCATCAGTCGAAATTGAGTTGCCTGTGCGAACGAAGAATGAACTCTTCGATTCAACCGTTCTACCCACCATAATGTACGGCGCTGAATGTTGGTCTGCTACTTAAGCCGACAAGAGCAAACTGATGGGCCAGCAAATAGCAATAAAACGAATATGACAGATTTTCTTCCGGGATGACGCACTGAGCGCACAAATTCTACAACGGACTGCATTAACAGACATGACCGCTGCTTTCTGTAACGCCAAGAGATGATAGACAGGTCATATGGCTCACTTGAGAGACAGCGGGTGGACGTCAAAAACTGCAAACTGGGCTCTGCTGACCACCAGCGTCAAGTCATCAAACAAGAATCCGCTGGCTGACCTACAGGTCAAATTACTGGGTCTGTAGAACAGGCTGAAAACGAGAAATGGAGAACGTCGGAGGTGCTTTGATTTGGGTTCATAGGACTCCCATAACGACGATGCCTGCGCGCGTGCGATATACTTAGAGGCCTGCAAGATTACACAGGCTTGGGTCCAGCCATACTCAGATCAGCTACGCGTATTCCAATAATAACGATATGTTCCACCGTGTTCTTGCAGACATAGTGGCTAATGTGCCGGTAGGGTGACAGACAGTCGAAATATCGTTTGTTCAAGCCTCAGATGGGTTACTCATTTTCTACTCTTCAGGGGCAGATTAACCATTACAATTCTGTGGGAAAGAAACAGGAAACTACATGCCATAGTTGCCAAATAATCAGCAACGGCCTTTAAAATATCGCAGACCTGGTTAGTATCGTGAAAAAGCTAAATACCGCATCATAAGCTTCAGAAGAATAAACAATCATAAAGGGACGCCATGATGGAAATGTAAAGAAGGTCGATATTTCAAAGGTTAAAACACTCTTCAATTTCCTTCCCTTCGTCTACAAAGGCCGCCACCTACTTCGTGCTGAGTACGCGTTTTCATTTCTGAATCGCAGATCTAGATTTCCATGGACCGTAATTCGACCTGCATCTCAGGGATTTTTCTGCCAAGCAACGGAGTGATAATTTAGTGACGAAGTTTCTTTCTGCATGCCAGTTTGTCTGCCTAACTAGTTCAATTTAATTAAACTAGCTGAGATTTCTGCTGACGCTTTAAGGGAAACTGCTTCCTAAATCCACCCATCAAAGTCTGGGTACGGGGACCTGATACAGAAGTATATTTAAATAACACTATGTAAGATTTTTGAGAGAAAGTGTGATCGCCTAACATTTCAAACTGCACCTCAAATATTTGTACGAATTGCCCGATACTGTCTAAAATGATTCTGATCATTCACTTTAAACAAATTTTGTATATTTAGGTCAACTAAAATACGAAACTATACCCCGATGGCGCAGTTTATGCTGCAATCATTGGACACCTTTATTTAAAAATATTGTTGAAGAGAGTAAGCTAAAGAACAGTATATATACGGAAAATATTCGCCGATACTTGGCTCTTCCGGGCGGTGTACTGAGGAAATAACGACAAGCGTTGGGCGGTCTGACAGATACTTAACTGTCAGGCGCTGTCAGCAAACACAGAATACGTTCCTGACAGCCAGTAAAGAGAACAACGACATGATAACTAATGCAAATGACATCTGAAAAATATTAATGCTTTACTATTATCAGGAGGTCGTCGTTGTCCCTTGCAGAGAATCACCCTTATATTCACCTAGCAGCCCCAAACGGTGGCAAAAAGTTGTACAGCGGTGAAGGACAAGTCTCAAACAATATCGCAACTAAACCGTCTGATAGCTGAAGGCTGAAAAAATTGACAAAACTGTCGACACTTAGTGATTTATGGATCACTGTGCAAATTACCTTCAGGGCTTATCTCCTGGAGTCTAACGATCCGACAACCGAAACGGAACGAGGTGATGTAGATAAAGGCTCCCGGTGTTTGAAAATAAGGCAAAAAGGATATCGCGAATTTTGGACAAAGAAGAAAGAGGACGCATGAAGGTTAATTTGTGATTTCTGGCAAGCGGCTGGGTATAGGTGCAATTAATTCTGCGAAAATGTCACCCATTCAAAACAAAACGAAAGTACCCAATCACGCTTTCAGCTTCATACCAGAAACCATGCAGCGGCCGGGGTCCTGAGGGTAATTCCAAAATTTGCTAACGAATAAATAGGCACCAAAAACGGCGGGAAGGATCCACTTCTTTTTATTTTTCCACGACAGAAGCAATTTCAATGAAACCTACAGTTCTTCAGAATCACGAAA